AAGTCGCGCTTCCATCTCCGAACGCATTTCTTAAGTCTGGATCTTCAGCTTCATAAGTCGCGCTAAACATGTAATGGGCTTGACTAACCCGAGGTTATAGTATCCCCGTTCATACAATATGTGCCACTATTGCTCTTGAATTCACGTTCCTCGGTTGGATCATTTGTCACTTCTCCCCCCCCCCTAATGGTGTCGCTGCCTCCGCTATTGCAGAGATAAGGTCATGTTTGCGGCAAAAAATGCGTGGGATGCGTGCTAGGAAGTCAGAATTTAGATAAACGCACACTCATGAACCAGTACACGCCCACCGTTGCGCTGCCTATGTCTAACTTCACACAATACTGTCTCTTCCCTATCGCTGTTACTCACCTTGGCGCCCATTCTCTCTTAAATTATTTTCCTCTCAAACTCCCCCACCGCTCAAAAAGAAGACTTTGTTCAGGGCGAGTACTTTCTTTTATTTATTTCTCCATTTGTACATCAATTAGCACCTAATGTTTCAAATTTGAATTCTGTTTTCCCGTTCTTGCAATCATGCAGCCTGGCTCTAATTCGCATGGTTCACCCTTCTGTCACCATAAAGCAGTTTTACATCTCGGTACATAGTTCTTTCCAACCACGAGGAAAAAATAGGAGCCAATTCAATAAAATCTTCAAGTTAAGATTCTACCAGGAAATTTGCTGTGGTTCGATGTTCGGCTCGTTTCAGTTTCGCACCACCACCAGTTACTGCACCAACGCCCATCTACAGCGCTCCTATCTACGGCCCATCATTCTACAGCGCTCCTGTCTCTTATGAGACTAAGAGAGTGAAGATTGAAATCGATATTGACACTCAACAAGACGTATTTGTCATGGTAAGCTAACTCTACTGCTCTATATTTTACCGAGAACATATAGATTATGTCAGCTCCAGAATGACCTGTGGTAAGCAGCGTGTTTCGTCAAATCCTGAAGGCAGTGACCACAGGGTCAACCGTCCGTTGGACAAAGTCCAACGCATGGCTCTCTAGCGTGTGAGAGTAATGCCGAGAGTGAACGTACGCACGGAGACACAGACGGCTCGCGCAAGGCGAGTCGAATGTCGGTCCAACGAGCGGTCAACCCTGTCCAACGTCGGTCCAATGTCGGTACGACGTAGCGGTTGACCCTGGTGACCACGATCAATGCAGGGCAGGGTGTTTTTGAATGTCATTGGTGAAAGAGCGCTAAAGCAGCAGAACTGTTGGCGTAACTGCAGTGGATAGTGAAAGTGTGGATGTCGAGTTGGGTGAAGGTGAAAAAAACAAAGGAAATCGTAACA